GGAGGGAGGGAGGAGGAAGGAGAGGGAGGAAGAGGAAGGCAGGGGAGAGAAGGGAGGCATTACAGGAGGCTTCGAGCCCAAGGGAAGAGGAGTTTTCCCTTGGGTCTGGTGGGTCTGGCGTGGAGGTAGTGGGAGGGCGTGTGGGAGCACAGTGGGAAGGGGACATGGGTCAGGAGCCTGGCTGTCTCCTGTGTCTAAGGAGCAGGCCTGGGAGTCTGCAAGGACCCTCTCTGGGGTGTGCTTTTCCCCCTCAGTCTCCTAGTCACATCCGGGGAACCTGCTCGTTGGCAGGACCGAGGCTGCCTGGGCTTTCAGGGGAACACCCAGATGCCATTTCCTCCCTCCCTCTTTTCTCCCGTATCACCCACGTTCAGGGTGAACCCAGAAACCCCTGGGGAATGGAGGTGCTTTGGGAATGTGGGCTTCTGCCCAGGTCTGTGGTCCCTCCATTGTAGCCACTCCTTGGGCGGCCTGTGCCAGCAGGGGGCAGAGGAGTGGGGGCAGCGTCTCGCTGGGAACCTGAGTCCACAGCCGAGGATGACTGACTCTCCCTCTTGTGTGACAACAGGATTCTGCAGGACAGGGAGATGCAACTGGAAATAATTCAGTCCAAACAGTCTTCCAAGGGACCCTTGCTGCTACGAAAAGGTGGCTCCGAGAAGTTTTTACAACTAACATGCTCGTATATTCAGGTGTCTCCTTCACATACCACAAGGAAATTGAGGTAAGCGTTTGGCCAAAGGCTTCTGGGTAGGGATGTGAGTGATCGTGATTCCTTGTGGCCTCAAATCATGGGGTATAGGCTGCTGGCCAGGGGCAGTTGGCCTTCACCTGAGCCTCGGTTGTTCATCTACAAAATGGAGTTGCTCCAGTCTACCTGGCAGGGTGACTCTGAGGCAGACAGATGCTGGGTGCAAAGTGCTGCTGCACTGCCTGGTGTCCGCTGGCTGGGCACCGTCCCTGTGGTGATGGTGATGATAGAGGTGATGATGTTGAAGGTGATGGTGGTGATGATGGTCATGGAGATGGTGAAGGGGAGGTGACGGTGATGATGGTGGTAATGGAGGCAGTAGTGGTGGAGGTGATGGTGGTGGAGGTGATGGTGGTGGAGGTGATGGTGGTGGTGGTGGTGG